AGTTGTTGAATATTACATCGAAACTGCTGCAACCAGGTCAATCCATCGGTTGTGTAATATCACATTGTACGATGTACATCGATTTTGCGAACAAAATTACATCCATTGATGTAATATTGTATCTGCTTTTTGCTATTACAGCATTATTTCATACATCAGCTTGAATTACGTTGATCGATATTACATTTTTTTTTGCTGTGTAGGGCTACAATCAGTCTTCTTGGAATAGATTTGGTTTGCTTTGCTTATTCTGGTGATTTTAGACTGCATGCATAAATTTATTTTTATCACGCTTCGTTTTCTTGCACAATCACAAATAGACAATCACAAAAGTCATTAAATCTTCAGGGTTGCCAAACTCATGGGATACTTGATTGACACGCTTAGCACCGCGTTTTTCATAGCTTTCGGCACAGCGAAAACTATTGGCACAGATTGGGGTGTGCAGGGTTGATTTCCTCTTGGATTTTGCGCTATTTCTGACACATAGCTTGATAAAGGAGGTTCTCATCCGGCACACGAATCAAGGAATGTGTTTACAGCTGAATTATTAACGAAGGAAAAAGTCGATGAACCCCCTTCTAACAGTCCTTCTAATCCCCTCAATTATGATCGAGATTTTGAAGAGAAAACAAGAATTAGGGTAGGTGTGCCAGATTTGGCAATAGTTAGCGAGCATATTTAGCTACCACATTTTATAAAATAGAAACCGCCATGTTTGGTACACAGCAAAAAAATAATTTTAATATCACATCAAAGTGGATGCACTTCAATCGTATCACACTTGCCAAAAAGGACAAAATTATCATTAATACAGTGCATGAACTGACATTACGCTGCTTTTACTGCATTTATTTATTTTTGTGGCCATAAAAATTACATGACATTTTCGACATGATTAAAGTGCATCCTCTTGGATGTAATTTATAATTTATTTTTTCTGTGTAGCAACTAATACCATGGAATTATTAATCAATTTTAGACTTCTATCTCCAGCGCCAGTGTTGACATCAGTTGTTCCTTTATTGACTGTAGGACCTGGACCCGACTAGATTTTTTGTTTCGAAGGAATTTGAAGAAGGGTTTTAAAATTAATGTGAATTAATCACCAATGTTTTTCAGAGAAAATTAGAGGGAGTTTTAGAAAGAACTCTCAGAGATCGATGGTGAAAATCTCAGGATCCGTGAAAAATACTAAGGGAATCGAATTTTGAGGGCACAACTCCAAAGGAATTCTAAGAATAATTTTAAGTGAATTTCAAGTGCATCACGAAACGAACTTCTAGAGAATTCGAAAGAAATAAAGTTTTTAGAAGAATTTAGAGGAGAACTCCTAGATAATTCTGAACTAAAATTCAAGACAATTCTGTTGTGAATTGCTTGAGAATTCTAAAGAAAATTCAAGTGAATTTTAAATTGAATTATGGATAGCGCTTCGAAGAAAATCTAAAGATGAACTTCTAGACTGTTATCAAAATATTGTTTAGGGACTCCCAGAGAGAATCTCAAATATTTTTTTGCAGAAATCAGAAATAATCTCTACACGGCGAATGAGAACGACTTAAATTTGAGTTTAGTTCACTCATAATCACCAAAAGTGCAGGAACTCAGCGATGAGTAAATTTGCCTCATGGTTTCCTATGGAAAACCTAAAAAATCTGCCGGAAAATGAGGAAATTGACGAAAATTTTATTCAGTCTCGGAGAAGAACCAATAGACTGAGTGAATCAAATCAATTCGGGAACTTTTCCCTGGAAAATCCTGGAAAAACCTGGAAAAACCTGGGAAAACATGAAACAAATTTACTCATCGCTGAGTTCCTGCACTTTTGGCAATTATGAGTGAACTAAACTCTTATTTGGGTCGTTCTCATTCGCCGTGTATGAAGAAACATGATTCCAAAGGAAATGCTTGAGAATCTATATAGGGGAAATGACGGCTTCGGCATGACAGACTATTTTCGGCAACCCAAATTGAAACACTATTTTCACTGGATTTTCTTACGAAAGCACTTCGCTGAATGCATGCAAACGATTCTTTATGCTTTCAGCCACGTAGAAAAAGCAATCTAGCGGTGCTTTCTTGAAATGAAACACACGCACTACAAATTGTAGCTGATTTCGAGTTGCCGACAATAGAACAGCAGATTTACATGCAGTTCAAATGGAACGATTGCCGAAGAAAAACTGGTTGCCGACAATACTCGCTCTCACTAGAGAAGATTGGAGCTTTGTAAAAGCGTTTCAAAACAGTTTTTGACAATTCTTTCGACTGAAATTGTTAGAGCAGCTGGCAGCAAAAGATTGTAAACAAACCAATACTGCATATGTGTGCGTTCCATAGAGAAAAAGGCTATAGAAAGAAGGTCGCTGCTTAGGTTGCCGAGAATACGTAAATTCCCCTATATATAAATGAATTTCTGTCCGTCTGTCTGACCCTTATAGACTCGGAAACTACTGAACCGATCGGCGTGAAAATTTGTATGCAGGGGTTTTTGGGGCAGGAAAAGGTTCTTATGATAGTTTGAGACCCCTCCCCTTCTGTATGGAGGGGGTCCCATACAAATGAAACAGAAATTTCTGCGTAACTCTAGAACTAATCAAGCAAATGGAACCAAATTTGGCATGTGGAGGTCATAGGGGGTAGCCCTTTAGATAAGAGGGGGGGGGGGGGCTACGCACAATTTACTTATAAAATCCTGCAAAGAGTTTTGAGTAAATTTTCATGTTAGTTAAGGTAGGGCCAGCGGGCACATGCGATACGACAATGGAGTGATGCTCGTTAAGGAAATACCCGGAGATGGGCACTGTCTATTTTTCGCACTGGAGTTACGATGTTATAAGACGCAACTAGGATCTAAAGATCATCATACAAAGATAATGGACGTCGAAATTTCGTGGAACACATCCGAAATAACCGGTTGATCGATGATGGGTTTGAAGTCCGGATGAGGATCGCAGTTACCGGGAACATTGGCAGCTGTGTCTTTATCGTCCTGCTCATCTTCGGCTTTGGCTGTGTCGGCTGCATTGATGCTCTGGCTTACCATTCAGGGGGTCAGGCAGCGTTGCCGACGCCAAAATTTCCCCTAGTAACAGCAGCAGCAGCAAATCGGCACAGAGAAGTAAATGAAAATCCACTCCAAAGCGCTTGCGACGGAGGCCCCTTTTGGAAGCTTTCCCAGCATCGTTCGAGCCGTTTTCTGAACAAATTCTGAAATTTTTATCGTTTCAATAGTTGATTTGAACAATTCTATTTTGTCTACTAACAAGACGGACGTATAATATGTGAAGAGGGTAAACGGAGTGAACCAAGGAGTAAACAGACAAAATAATCGATGAACAGCAACTCAGAGTAAAGCTGTCTCACCCCTTGGGTGGGATTGAACTCTCATCGAGTTCTGGGGTTTACCGAGGGGTTTACTTTAGTCGGGGAGGATTTAATAGGTAGAAATTTTATTCAACATCGATCGAGTTTTGGTAAGCGTGATTACCTTAAATCCCAGTCAACGCCGCCGGGATGTTGTGAGGCATAACATCTCTGATCATGCCTTCCTTCGCAAGGTTTTTTTTCCCTTTATTTGAGAGATTTTTAGCCATAGGCTAGTTCATCTCTTATTCCTTCGCAAGGGAAGTAAAGACGTTGGTCCCCGGTTGATGAATTGATGGGTCGATAGGTAGGGTCCAGGTGTGGGATCTGCCTCCTTGGCGTCAGTAGCATTGGTGGTAAGCACGGAATCAAAACAAACATAGTGTAGTACTAGAATTTCGACAAGAATGGGGTACGTCAGTTTGCTTGGGACCAATAGGCTAGTCAAGTAGTGAACCAATTTAAAATCGTTAGTTTCAACCGTTTACGCTTCTTAATCTGTTGGACATCAATACACATTGCCGCAAACTTCGGTCGCATACGTTTATCACCATCCCTCCGCCAATAACTAACTATGGACCTAACTATGGACTAAAAGCTGGAAACTAATGATTTTAAATTGACTCACTGCTTTACTAGCCTATTGGTCCCAAGCAAATCGATTAACGTACCCCATCCTAGTCGAAATTCTAGTACTACACAATGTTTGTTTTGATTCGCTATGAAAGTTTGACAGATAAAATGAGGGGTTCGTGGATTTTCCTATGTTTCGAGGGGTGCATCGATTAGCTTGAGACCGAAGATAGTACCTGAGTTGAGCCAAAAAGTTGAGCACGTTTCTTGGAGACCTTCTGGTTTGTATCCATCAGCAACGTGTCTCGAATAATAAATAAGCGTAGTTTTAAATGAGGTTTTAAATGAGTTTTTTGTTTATGTTAATTTATGTTAATTGTTTGATTTGTATTAAATTGTAGAATAAGTATTATTGGGATAAACATTTCCTGCATTCCTTATGAACAATAAATAAAGAATAAAGAATATAGAGGGTAGGCCAAAATCTCGGTCAAAACATATAGAAATATTTAATTAAATCTAAGGCTGTGAACCATTTGTCGAGTTAAATTTAACACGTGGTTAAAAGTGACATTTTGAAAGCTATTATCTATGTTCGAAAATCCCTGTGCTGTCGATCGACCGGTTTTCGAGAAGAACTTAGCCAAGGTTGTCAAAATTTAACTTCTTGTCTGTCTGAAGTAACCACGCTCGGTTAATCAATAACTTTCCATCTGTCGAATTTTAACCAAAAGTTAAAATAATCCACCAAATGGATCACAGCCTAAACAATTTCTCTGTGTGCACACAAATTCCTTCCGGCAGCATTCAGCCACCATTTGCACCAGCACGCAGCCTCATTCGATTGTAAAATTCCTCATCGACCAACCGCTTTTCGACTACCGGCGACCCGAACCCCGCGTTTGTTTTCGTTCATTTTCTGACGTTTCTCTTCACTTTCGTAGCAAAACAAACCCCTCCTTCCCACTCTTCACCCAAAAACGGTAGACACAAGCACCAGACAGTGGAGACCGTGGAGACGCGATATCGCGAAAGGAAAAAGAAGAAAACCCGTCTCCGTGGAACGAAAAAAAAAATGTTTTTTCGTGTTTGTGTTATCATCATTATCAGAGTGCACAGTAAAATTGTCCAGTAATTCCAGACAGCTTAGGGAAGCATTTTATCAGTGCGTGTTCGTTCGAGTGCGGGAGTGAAAAAATTATATTTGTTTCGATCGAAATTCCGGAGTGCGTCGAAAATAATTACTGCAAAAGTCCCGTTATGTTTGAAAACCTGCCAACAGCAAGATGTTCAAAATCGAATCCTACATTACGCCCATCATTTTGAGCTACGTGGAAAAGTACGTCAAGAACATCCGGCCGGAAGACTCGCAGGTGTCGCTATGGGGCGGGGAGGTCGTGTTCCAGAATCTGGACCTGAAGCTGGACGTGCTGGAAGAGGAGCTGGCACTGCCGTTCCAGTTCCTGTCCGGACACATTCACGAGCTGGCGATTCGGGTACCATGGACAAAGATCGCATCGGAGCCGATTGTTATTACGATCAATACGATTGGTAAGAGGAGTGGGAGGGACGACGACAGGTGGTTGAATGCATTAGTTAATTTTGTTGGAATTTTCAGAATTTGTGCTGAAGCTGCAGGAACCGGGCAATCGGACCGCTCCTCGGAGAGATGCCAACAAGAAGAGTAAGAATTCGGATGAAGCCCCACCTCCGGGCTACATGGCATCGCTAATCAACCGGATCGCAAACAATATCACGATTCGTTGTCACAATGTGATTCTGAAGTACGTGGAGGAGGACATTGTGGTGTCGATGAACATCCAACAGCTGTCGATGGAATCGGCCGACGGCAAGTGGAACCCTGCCTTCATCGACATTTCGCCGACGAGAATTTCCCTGAGGAAGTTGATCAACATTGTCGATTTGACCATCTGCTTGGACAAACGGAACTCAGCCGGGAAGATTGAGGTCTGTCAGGAGCCGGTGTTGTACCGGAGCACGCTGCAAGCACGGGTACTGATGAAGTACAGCAATGTTCCGACCCAGGATCGGTCGTCGATCACGAGGATTGACATCCATAGCAAATTCTTGGATTTCAATGTTTCCTCGCAGCAGTTTCCGATGTTGATGCGACTGTTTGAGCTGGGGTTGGCGCTGAAGCAGGGGAGGATTAAGAGCGAAATTTCCCTAGGGCAGGAGTCCGGTGCGGAGGGTGAAGGAGAAGCTGGACAGGAGTCGCTGCTGACCTGGGCTTGGAATCTGCTACCATCGTTCTTCCCGGAGGAGAACGAGAGCGATCATACGGAGGATCATGAGTTCCATGTTTTCCATGCCGGGTGCTACGTGGATCGGATGAGGATGATCTTCAAGACGCAGGAATTCGTTGGAGATAGTGTGGTCGGGACGGCTAGAAAGATCAAATACAATCCTTTTCTGCAGTTGGATTTGGACGGAGTTCACGGTGAGGTGGTGATCTGCGGGTTGAAGTGGTTCAATGTCAGCGGGGGAATTGCCAGGATAGGATTGCAAGCACTGGAAGATTGCCCGTGTGGACAACCGCTGACGATTCGGGAAATATTCCAGAGCGAAACTCAACTGACGAGGGACGAGCACATTAAAGGTTCTTTCTTTGACGATAGCTCCGGAGAGAGTCGGAAGTACAACGTCAATTGGAACTATCATTTGGGGACCTACTCTCAGGATGTGCTGCTCAAGAAGTCTCCCGCAATAGCGATGGATATCGTCCATGAAGTGCAGATTCCGGACGATCGGCGAACCTCCGAATTTGGCAGCGATTTGGAATTCAGTAATCTATCGGAGAAGTACATGATTCGAGCATTCCTGGGAAAGTTTCGACTGAAAATTAGTGCAGATACTCTGCATCGCCTGAAAACGTTGATTTCCTACAAGGATGCATACGAGTATCCAGCTTATTACGAGGAGAAACCCATTCCTAGCCTGCATCAACTGCTTCCGCCGTCGGCCGAAGACTACGATGCTCTGATGAATGAAATTCCGCTTAAGCAAGTCCACATAACAATCCTTACGCCAATCCTGGAGCTTCATCCGTTCGACCATGGAAAGTTCCAGCTTGGAAGGAAACGTAGTTCCAGCAAGCTTGCCCAATCTCCACAGACCCCCTTCCTCACTGCAGTCTTCAATCGCGTCGAGTGCAACATCCTAACACCTCTTTACCCAAGCAGACTGGTCTTCACGACCTGCCAACTACCGGAACCACCATCCAAGCTCTTCGACAGCTGCTTCCATTCAATTTCCGGAAACCTGGAACGTCTTCAAGTCAAATTACACTACAACGGTTCGGAAATCCCCGTCGCCACTGCCATCAATCTGAATCACCAACATCGTTTCCTCATCTTCCCGGAACTCTGGCCCAACACAGAACTCAACAAAGGCGAGCACAACTACGGCATCTCGGACCTGAAGCTAGTGCTCAATCCGTCGCAATCCTCCGCCGTATACTCCATCCTTCAAACGCTCTCCAGCCAAACTCCCTTCTTTCATCCATCGCAGGATCTCATCCTCAACCTCACATCCTCCACTTTGCCAACCCTAGAACTCACGATCTCCCACGCCCACCTCCGTCAGGTCCTCTCCGAACGCACCTCTTCCCTCAAGCTCACCTCCCGCAGTCTTCGCTGTCTCTCCTACACCCCCAACAACTCATCCACAGAACGCTCCCTGACGGCCCTCTGGCCGGACCACCCCACCGACGAAGACTTCCTCACCATCATCATGCAGCTGCCCATCGATCGTCAGCTGACCTCCCTCGAGCATCCTCCCATATTCTACGGTCGCTTCCTCGATCTCAGCCTGAACGTCGATCCTACCCTGTACGAATTCCTACGAATCCTGCCGGAAAACCTTTCCGCCTGCCGGGACGATCCTTTGTCCCGTGCCCACGCCCGCCACTCGCTTAGCCCTCGGAAATCCGTCGAACGCATGCTGCCGAAGCCAAAGTCCTCGCAACCCATAACGTCTGTCCATTCTAGCTCGGACAAGGTCGAGGGGGCCATTCCGGCGCCACTTCCACCCAATGTCGGATCGACCGTCGCGGAAGACGACACGGAAAAGGACGAATCGGTTGCGATCCACCACAGCCAGACCGCACTGGTCGGGGTGGAGTTTTGGAAGCAGCTTTCCCGGAGGATCATCTTCCACCTGGAGTTCCGCCACTGTACGGTGTACTTCCCGGAGAGGAGCATCGAGCAGCAGGAGCCGGTCAGTGACCGGAGGCAACACCCTCCCGAGGAGGAGTTTGGCGATAATGAGATTGTGATGCTGAAGTAAGTATGAAGGCTGTAGCTATTCAAAGTCTTGTACAGGGGACGGGCCGCTCGCATGCTAAAAGTAACGATTTCAAATCGGTTCCCCGGACCAAACATTATTAAAGTGACTATTATAAAAGTAATCAGAAATCTTCAGAACCTAAGAATTTTCCGGATACCTTCAGGACTAGCTCCGAGAACTTCCAAACAGTTTCAAGATGCTTCTGAACTTCTTTGAAAACGACTTCAAAGTGTTCAGGGAACTTTTGAACAGTTGAGGGAACTTCAAATGTTTGTCTCCCTATGATAAATGTCTCCGTAAAACATTCCAATCCTTCCTGATAGATCCCGGAATTTGTCATAGCTATTCAATTAACCTGTCTCATACCAACTCTCCGTTATCTTCCCCTTCCAGGCTGCCGCTCATCACGATCAACTCGGCGTTCAAATCGACCAGCCTGTCGGCCGGTATCAACCGGTTCCCCATCAGCCTGGCCAAAGCCGTCTGGCCGGACGACCGGGAGAGCTTCCCCTGGACCGTCTCGCTGGCCAACACCTCCAGCTGGACCTACCAGAACCGTCAGATGAACAAACTACTCGACGAAACGACCACCAACATTTCGCTGGTGCTGAACTTCAAACACGACGGTATGGCATCGTCCGCTTGCTTCCATGTAGACACCTCGCCACTGAAGTTGAACGTGTTAAAGGAACAACTGTCACTGCTCACCACAACCCTTAACCGAATTCTCTCCCTACCGATGCTCCAAAGTCACTCGGACGCAAGAGGCAAGCACCGGGAACCGCAGATCTTGGAGATTTCCCAGAAATCCGGTAGCGCTGCGACGGCGACCGACTTGAAGGAGTTCCTAGACATGACCCATAACTCCAGTGGAGCTTCCGAAGAGACGTTAAAGGAGGCTGGCAAAAAGGACGCGCTTCCGGTGTCGATCTGGCTGCAGTGGACCTTCTCCAAGGTGACGGTAAACTGTATCGGCAAGGACGAGATCGGACAGCTGAAGATCAGACTTACCATCGAGTTGGAGGATATCATCTACAGCTTGGACAAACAGGACGTGTATCTCCAGATCAAGGCCAAGGTCGGAGGCATGAGCGGTCAATGCTACGAATTTGACGTCGAAAAAGGAGTTTGGGCAAAGAATGAAGCCCTGGCACTGTCCGTGCAGACGGACTCGGGTGGCTCGAGCAAGTCAGCAAACGATACATTCCTGAATCTGACAATCACGAAGGCGGAAACTACCAACGTTCACACCAAGTGGGACGCGGTGAGGAAGAATCGAGAACAGAATGACACTCTGATCGAGGTGATTGTGAAAGTTGAACAAGTCGATCTACGACTGGACTTGGATCTACTGGAACAGTGCGCGGATGTTTTGACGATTTTCCAACAGAAAGACGATGCGGAGGTTCCTCCTCGGAAGGTCCTAGGAGTGAGAGATCTCCCGCTAATCCTGTTCTCAAGCAAAGGACTTCGGTTGTTCATCCCCCTCCGGGATTGCTCTGATCACTGCAACGCTTACATCTTCAAAATCAACTCCATTACCATGCATCATAACGTGGAGAACCCGATCTGTCGGGTTCCCCTGCGCCCGGACGTCTACACAAAAGCAGCCCAAATGCGAATCCTGAACGTTCCCGGTTCCAAAATCGAAGATCGCCAGTACGAAATCCTACTGAAGGAGATCTCTCTCAGCACTGCATGTTGGTCGGACATTCTGGCGTACATCCAAGAGCAAACATCCTCAACGACGCATCACGATAATCCCGCCTTTGAGTGGAACAACCTTCAGGACGTACAACGCTCGTCCGACTTTGAAGTTAACACGATCTTCAAAGAGTTCAACTTTTCCGTCATCTACGCGCCTTGTATCATTTACAAGAATGTCCTCATCTGTAGCCAAGCTATGGAACTAAACTGCATGTCAGATCTGCTGATGGATTTGGACCTGGATCAGCTGCGACTAGCCGGCAACATCTCCCGAAAGATCAGCAACATTCTTCAAACGATCGCTCCTTCCAGTCAACACAGTTCCTCCTCGAGAAGCAGTGTGATCGAGTTCAATCCAGCTCTGTTCAGCAGTCAACTCAGCCAAGATACAATCAGTATCGATTCGGTTAGGTCGTTGCGGGAATCGGAACTGCCACGTACTCGCCGCAGTTATTCCAAGTTGTCCAGGTTCGAAGAAGACTCCGGAGTCGATTCATACAGGGCATCGGATGCTAAGCAAGCTGCATCCAGCAGTAGACGCAGCGCTGGGGGAGGCTCCCGACAAAGGAAGTTCTCCAGTAGGTCTTCCGAGCAGCTGAAGTCGTCGCTTGGACCGTCCGTTGAAGAGCAGGTCGTTCCGTACGAAGTGTGCTTCTTGGGCGGATACTTCAAAGTTAATCTCTACGACAAGAAAACGAAACAGCCGGAGGACTCCAAAGTATTGTTCCGAATGGTGATGGCTCAACCGAATGGGCTACTGTCGTTGAACCTTCTGGAACGGGTCGTTCAGTTGTCTCTGTTCGACTTGATCATTGAGCTGGATGGACTATCTTTGCTGAAGACGCTTTCCGGTGAACCGGACGATCTTGGAATACCTCAGCCAATCATCAAGACCCGTTTCGTGAACAGTATGCTGAAAAAGAACAACGAATTGAGTGTGGAGTTCAAGCGACCGATCAAGTTGACGATCTCCCATCAGAAATTGAAAGTTCTGCAAGATCTTGCCGATATTTTGGCGGGTGCTGTGGGTGGATCTCAGCACAACAATCGTCCCCAAAGGCACGCTAGGAAGCTACCCAAGCCTATTCTTAGTCGCAACAAGTTCAAAATGATCAAGTCAAACATGTACGACGTGGAGAAAGTCAGCGTGCGGCTGTCTCAAACAATGATCCACATTCTGGATGAAGATCAGCAAGTTTATAACTGTAAACTGTCACTGTCATCGATTCAGTCTATCCTTCGGGTTCAGGAGCGCCCGGCTCGTATGTCGTTTAACCTGGACCTCGAAGAGTTGATCTTTTGCCAAGGTTCTTTCGTGATCATGCATCCATTTTCGTTCAGTCTACAAGCGACCCTAACCCAGGAATACTGGAAACGGGATCCGTCGATCCAGATGAAGTTGCACTCGAGCTACCTACAGCTAGATTTCAATCCGAACAACTTGGTTGAGGTTCAAAGGATGTTCGATCTTCTGAACGGCGTTCTATCAACGAAATCTTCAAACGAGAGTGAACACCGACCATCGCTAACGGCTAGCGATAATCAGACGCCCAGTCAGGAGAACTTGATCCCGCTGGCGACGCCCGGTTTCTCCCAGAAAGATTCCAAAGGGGTTCAGGAAGAGCACTACCAAGATGATCTTCGGGCAGGTGCCTTTCAGTTCATCGAGACGAACAGGAGCAACGAGCTGCCGCTGCCTTATCAGATAAAGATCATCAACCGGGACGTCGGCATCATTTGCTGGAGGTATCCGCAACCCAGGGCGTTGTACAATGTAACCGTCAATCCTGTGCCAATGAACGTAAGTCCACAGATGTGATCATGTCACGAGAGTCGACCTTAAATTTTCCGTATTTCTCTTTTACAGACCAGCAAACCCCTCAGAATTCAGTGCAAGTTGGAGTACTTCTCCGAAATCTACGGAGATTTCTTCGAGCTGTGTGAGTTTACGTTGTCCGAAAACGAAAAGGTCGCATTAAAGCTTCCTTCGCGGAAGATTGCATCCTCTATCTGGCGAATCGTGATGACCCAGAACGTGATCTACGAAGGTGGGGAAAACGACGAATCGGCTAGTGAGGCAATGGATTCCACCGAGCAAGGCAAGTCCCTCATCTCCAACATTACCGATGTCCTGAAGGATACCTACCTGTCCTCGGGTCGTATCGTCAGCCTTCCCTATCGACTACATCCGAAGATCTTCGTAGCTTGCATGCGAATTGATTCCATGTTTAATCCTAACCTAATTCCGAATGTGGAGTGCACCGTCGAGCTTCGGCCCGTTCAGATCAATCTGTTCAATGTTACCAATTTTACCATGGATTCCAAACTTCCGAAACCCTTCGAAGGCTACCGGCTGTGCAAGGAAACAATCGAGTCCAGAAGTCACAAGTTCTTGATGTTGAACTCCAATCACCTTCGGATTCGCACTGCCATCTACGACAACTTTGACGTACAGGTCAGTGGAGAACTGAATCTGCACTGCGACCTGCTAGACTACAGTCATTACACCTTCGAGAACGTGTTGGAGTTGGTTAATTTGAAGGCGATCGCCACGATAGAAGACGATGCGCTAGATGTCAGAGCTATCTCGGATGACATTCTGGTACGTTATGGTCCTTCGGTGGGCTACAACCTGGTCGTGGCGGAGAAGTTCTGGAACTCCCGGGAAGATTCGGTGCTAATGTATGGAAAGTACATCGTTTGCAATCATACGCACGTTGGTTTGAAGTTCGGTCAGTGCCAGACGGGGGAATCGATCTTCCTGGGTACGCATGAACTGTGCCTGTACGTTTTCCGGAGTGGTCGGCATAAACAGCAGTTGCAACTCGTGTTCAACGAGAACACCAAAGATATATCTACGGAGCCATTTTCCGTAGCGAAGGAAGGTCTGTTCTACGTTAAGGTTCTTCCAGTTTTCGAAGAAGATGTGGAGGATGAGAAGCTGTTTGTGGTGAGGATCGAGAATTTGAGCAATGCTCAGAAGCGGATCACCATCGACGGTCAGATCAACTTCTTCAACATGACTTCGCAGCGATTGAAGGTGCAGTACAGGTTCTACAAGGTGATCCCAAATAGCGAGAAGCACTACGTATCGACGAGTTTCATGATCGGGGAGAACTCCAGTGCAAACGTGTTTGGTGCGGCGAACAACAAGAATCAGCAGAGCTTCAAAATTTCGATTGATGGTGAAAAGAAGGGCTGGTCCGGGGACATTCCGATGCGGGAGATTATGAACGGATCTAAGCCGTATCTGGTGAAGATTCCAACGGGAATGACCAAGGAGGGTTACCTAAGCTACTGGGTGAGGATCATTCGGGAGAAGATCGGCGAGAATGTCGAACTGAAGGAAGTGTTCAACGAGCGGGTTCTGGTGGTGGTTTGGCCACTTTTTATGGTTCAATCAATGCTCACTGTGAATACGACGGCATTCGAGGAGAAGATAGATCAGACCTTCTCAATCTACGGTCAAGGTGAACGAAAACAACTCGTTGTTTCCGGTACAAACTCCGACGAACATGAACTGCTGTTCCGCATGAAGTAAGTTGGGATCAATGTTTGGCATTAAACCTCAGGCTAATTTTAAACGAACCTTTACAGTTTCAACGCCCTGCACGGAGAAGACAAAAGAAAAGCGCTGCTGTCCTATCGACTGATCGATGGGCGATCGTTCTTCCAGGTTCCGGAACGGTTCAAAACAGTCGAAGCCGCTATCGAAATGCTCCAGAAGAATCATACCCTGAACTGGCCTTGCTCTCGGGAGGACGAACTCCGCTGGAAGCGGGAGAATTCCATCCAAGAAGCGACGCTCCCCCTCTACCACTGCTCGGCAGCTCACGAGTTGTCCTGCTGCTTGATGTTGAGCATCGCACCGTGGTGTTTGTTCATCAACCAACTGGGCTGCCAGGTGCGAATCAAGAACTACACAACTAACGAGTTGAACATCGTCGAACCGAACAACATTCTGATGCCGCAGTACATAGAGCTTGGATTTACGCTCGAGTTGGATGTTGGCATGCAGCTGGAGTCCGAACTGATATACCTCAACGGAGACGTCAAGAAGCAAGTATCGTACAGCGTCGTGCTACCGAAGGAGGGTTCGGTCGAAATCAACTTGAGGTCCGACAATGGGGTAAGTAAATCTTTATTATTTTTTAACTGCTGGTTACATTTTACCCTTGACCTGATAGTCGGGCTTCACGGCAGCAACCGCCTCCTTGAAGACCTGCAAAACTCGATCCACCCGTTCAGTTGTCGCATTCTGGCCCATGAGTCCAATTCGAAATACTTGTCCGGCTGTAGGTCCCAGTCCTCCGCTGATCTCGACCAAGTACCTAGAATAAATCCACATTGTTTAATCATTCAAATCCCACCACCCGATTGCTGAGCAACTCACGTCTTCATAGCGTACTGTGCGGCCTTCAGCCAATCTACACCCTGGGGAACCTTGATGGTCGTCACCGTTGAGAGACGGTCCTTGGGATCCGCGTACAGCTCGAAACCGGCATCCTGCAGTCCGCGGTACAACCGCTTGGCACAGTCCTGATGGCGGGCGATCAATGCCGGGAGTCCTTCTTCACAAGCCATGGAAATTGCCTCCCGCAGGCCGTACAACAGGGTTGAAGAAATTGTGTGATGGTAGCTGTGAAGTACGATCGTAGCAAAGTTTCAAAGTTGATCAAGTTGACGACAGAGCTAACTTACATTCTGGGTCTTCCGAAGCAACCCCAATAGTCACCGACCAGCGACATGTCCCAGTAGTAGACCTTGACTTTGGAGTTCCGGCTCTTGAAGCGTTCTCTGCGGGGGGAGAATGTAGGTTAAGAAAATTAATTATTGTATCTCTGCGAGTCCCATAGGTTCAAGTTTGTAAGGTTTTACTGATCGCCGAAAAGTAGAGGATTATATCAACCTTTGTAGCGAGGCAGCTCATAGTTTCTCTTGACTTTAGTTGTGGTTAGGCCATCCCAAAGGCTCTCCCTTAGCTCACTCGCTGCAAAATGGTAAGTTGACAACTTGGAACGAGCGGAATACCTAGCTCTGGTCCTCACGCCTCTCCGAGTCATATGATAACAAAAGACTACCAGCTAAAACATGGACACAGTTGGGTGGCGTAGCCTGGGCAATGTTGCCAGTCTGGCAATAGCAAAGTGATGAGGTGCGACGCGAACATTGGTGCAGCAACTATAGTACTGTGATAGAGGAAATGCTTCACCAACCCTAATAAAAATTGTATGGTTAATTTGCTTAACGACGTGTTCTGGGTATCATCCAAACCATTTATGGAATAGTTCAATGATTTGGGTTATCGTTCGTTTATGGTTATTTTTTATTAGGGAAGCCCGAGCGCCTGTTCACCATGGAGGTGCGGCTCAAAACGGCGTCTGTTATCCATGTTAGAAGTGGCTGATCACTGTCCTAGTGCCAGCGTTGGACTCCAAATAGAGCTGTGCACGAGAATCTCCTGGAGCAGGCCCAACAAGTCGCCCTGGAAAAAATATAAAGTTGCAAATACCGAAGAAAGAAATACGGATCGAAACAATCGGCACAGACCTACGCGACGAAACAAGGACTACGATTGGAACTATGACGAACTTCACCCACGCAACTTCGAAGTCGTAGCACTGCGTGAACTTTGCTGAACGGGACTAAAGGTATGGAAAAGCGGGCAACAAGCGGCTACTTTCTACCAGAGCTGTGGCACTACAAACGAGCTGGGAACCGGCTTTGTAGTGCTGGGTAAGATGCGCCAACGTGTGATTGGTTGGCAGCCGATCAACGCGAGGATGTGCAAGTTGAGGATTAAGGGCCGTTTCTTCAACTACAGCATCATTAGGTGCGCTGCCCATACGAAGAGAGACCCGACGACGAGAAAGAATCGTTCTATGCGCAGCTGGAGCAGATGTACGACGGCTGTTCGCAACGGGACGTCAAAATCGTCATCGGTGACATGAACGCTCAGGTTGGACGGGAGGCAATTTACAGATCGGCAATCGGGCCAAATAGCCTGCATGCCGTATCGAACGACAACGGCCAACGATGCGTGAACTTTGCAACCTCCCGTGGTATGGTAGTCCGAAGTACCTTTTTCCCTCGCAAGGATATCCACAAAGCCCACCTGGAGATCACCTGACCAGCACACAGAAAACCAAATTCTTCAACATTGAGCAATTACGGAACGCCAGAGTTGGCCAGGATTACGCGCAGCAGCTGGAAGCTACACTACCCACGGAAGAGCAGCTTGGCGCAGCTACTCTTGAAGATGGCTGGAGGGACATCCGTTCCGCCACAGGTATGTACTGCTGCAGCGGCACTAGGTACTACGATCCCTGACCGACATAATACGATTTTTCGAAGGAAGAAGCGTCAGCAGGAAGACCGAGATTGTGAGGCGATAGAAAATCTGCACCGCGTAAACGACACACGGAAATTCTACGAGAAGTTATATAGTTCGCGCAAAGGCTACGTGCCGCAGGCGGATATGTGCAAGAATTTGGACGGTAACCTTCTCACGAACGAGTGAGGTGATTGAGAGGTGGAAGCAGTACTATGACGAGCACCTCAATGGTGAAGCAGCAGAAAACGAAGGTGGCACGGCAACAGACCTTGGAGCACACGCAGAAGACGACAGGCTACCGGCCCCTGATCTTCAAGAAGTTGAGGAGGAGATCGGTCGGCTGAAGAACAACAAAGCAACTGGTGTAGATCAACTACCAAGTGAGCTATTAAAATACGGTGGTGAAGCACTGGCTAGAGCGCTGCATTGGGTAATTGCCAAGATTTGGGAGGAGGAGATATTACCGGAGGAGTGGATGGAAGGTGTCGTATGCCCAATCTACAAAAAGGGCGACAAGTTGGATTGCTGCAACTACTGCGCGATCACACTGCTGAGCGCCGCCTACAAGGTACTCTCCCAAATTCTATGCCGCCGCCTGTCACCATTTGCAAGAGAGTTCGTGGGGCAATACCAGGCGGGATTCATGGGTGCCCGCGCTACCACGGACCAAATCTTCGCGATTCGGAAGGTTCTGCAGAAATGCCGGGAATACAACGTTCCCACACATCATTTGTTCATCGATTTCAAATCCGCATACGACACAATCGATCGAGATCAGCTATGGCAGATTATGCACGAGTACGGATTTCCGGATAAATTGACGCGATCGGTCAAGGTGACGATGGATCGAGTGATGTGCGTTGTTCGAGTATCGGGGACACTCTCGAGTCCCTTTGAATCTCGAAGGGGGTTACGGCAAGGTGATGGACTTTCGTGTCTGCTATTTAACATCGCGTTAGAAGGTGTGATCAGAAGAGTCCATCCAGCTTGTTGGTTTCGCCGATGCCATCGACATCATGGCACGGAATTTTGAGACGATGACGGAAACGTACTTCAGCTAGGCGGATTGGACTTGCCATCAAAGACGAAATACATGAGAGGAAGAGGTTCTAAGGAAGACAATGTTAACCTCCCACCCCGAGTTCATATTAACGGTGACGAAATCGAGGAGGTCGACGAGTTCGTGTATTTGGGCTCACTGGTGACCGCCGAAAATGATACCAATAGAGAAATTCAAAGACTCATTATGACAGGGAATCGTTCCTACTGTGGACTCCGGAGGACGCTCAATTAGACCTCTACGGCTACGAGACCTGAACTATGTTCGTGGAGGACGGAAGGTGTTACGTACCATCTACGATGCAGTGCAGATGCATGACGGAACGTGGAGAATACGAATGAACCACGAATTGCACGAGCTGCTGGAAGAACCAAACATTGACCTTACTTACTTATCCTGGTCCGACACCCCTCAGGATTGCACCTGCATCACAATGTTACGCCAATTCACTCGGTCCGTGGCTGCTTGTCTCCAATTTTTTGACCGTCCCACACTACCAAGATCCTGCTCCACTTGGTCTAACCACCTTGCTCGCTGTGCTCCTCTTCGTCTTTTTTTTTTTTATTAATAACTTTATTTGTACAGTCCTCTTCGTCTTGTACCGGCCGGATTCGAGGAAAACACCATTTTTGCGGGATTGTTGTCCGGCATTCTTAAAATGTGTCCCGCCTATCGTACCCGTCCAACTTTCGCAACTTTCTGGATACATGGTTCACCATAGAGTTGCGCCAGCTCGTGGTTCATCCTTCGCCTCCATATACCGTTCTTACATACCCCGCCAAAGATGGTCCTAAGCACTCGTCGTTCGAAAACACCCAGTGCTTGCAGGTCCTCCTCGAGCATCGTCCACTTCTCGTGCCCGTAGAGAACTACCGGTCTTATCAGCGTCTTGTACATGGTACATTTAGTACGGAGGTGAAGTTTACCCGACCTCAGGGTCTTGTGGAGTCCGTAGTAAGCACGACTTCCGGCAATAATACGTCGACGAATTTCTCTGCTGCGGTTGTTATCCGACGTTGTGATCCAAGGTACACAAATTCATCCACCACCTCGAACTCATCTTCGTCGATTGTCACGCTTCTGCCTATGCGAGCCCTATCCCACTGGGTTCCTCCAGCAAACAGATACTTTGTCTTCGACGCATTCACCTTTAATCCAACCTTCTCTGCTTCACGTGTCAGCCTGGTGTACTGCTCCGCCACAGCCTGAAACGTTCTTCCGACAATGTCCACGTCGTAAGCGAAGCATATGAACTGACTGGACTTATTGGACTTCTAGCGCAATGTTGAACAGCAGACAGGAAAGACCATCGCCTTGTAGAAGTCCTTTGCGAGTTTCAAACGAGTCCGATAACGCACCCGATATCTTCACGCAGCACTGTACACCATCCATCGTAGCCCTGATCAGTCCCGGGAAAACCGTTCTCGTCCATAATCTGCCATAGCTCACACTTTTGGAGGATCTGCCGCAACGTAAAGATTTGGTCCGTTGTTGAACGCCCGTCCACAAAACCGGCTTGATAACTTCCCACAAATCTGCTTGCTTGTGGCGATAAACGGCGAAAGATGATCTGGGAAAGCACTTTGTAGGCCGCGTTAAGAATAGTGATCGCTCGATAGTTCTCACATTCTAGTTTGTCGCCTTTTTTATATACTGGGCATATTACTCTCTCTTTCCACTCCTCCGGTAGCTGTTCTGTATCCCAGATCCTGACTATCAGTCGGTGCAGACAAGTGGCCAATTTATCCGGGCCCATTTTGATAAGTTCCGCTCCGATACCATCTTTCCCAGCTGCTTTGTTGTTCTTAAGCCGTCGGATAGCATCCTTAACTTCCGGTGTACTGACGATGCCATTCCTCCTGCCGCCTTGGTCCTCCGCCTCTGCGCCCTTCAGATGTTCATCGTAGTGCTGCTTCCACCTTTCAATCACCTCACGTTCGTCCGTTAAGATACCCTCTTTCTTATCCCGACACATTTCGGCTCGTGGCCCAAAATCTTGGTGGGACTTGCGTGTTTCTTGAGAACGATACAGCTGCTCCATTTCTTCGCACTCCAGCTCTTCCAGGCGGCGCTTCTTATCCCGGAAAAGATGGGTTTGCTGTCTTCGCTTCTGTTTATATCGCTCCACATTGTGACCGGTTCCTTGCTGCAGGATCGCCGCCCGCGCTGCGTTCTTCTCGTCCAAAGCAGTCTGACACTCTTCGTCGAACCAATCGTTCCGTCGATTCCGGCGTCGAAAGTTTTTGGCGCACCTTGACCATTAGAAGGTAGTGGTCCGAATAGATATTTGCGCTGCGATAGGTCCTGACGTCGATAATGTCCGAGAAGTGCCTTCCGTCGATCAAAACGTGGTTGATTTACGATTCTGTCTGCTGCGGTGATCTCTAGGTGTACCGATATGGGAGGCTATGCTGGAAGTAGGTACTACGTATGGCCATGTTCTTAGAGGCGGCGAAATCTATGAATCTAAGGCCGTTGGCGTTCGTTAGCTGGTGAGCGCTGAAGTTCCCTATAAACGGTCTGAATTCCTCCTCCTGGCCAACCTGAGCGTTAAGATCTCCGATGATGATTTTGACGTCGTGGCTTGGGCAGCTGTCGTATTCCCGTTCCAGCTGCACGTAAAAAGCGTCTTTATCGTCATCATCACTTGCTAAGTGAGGGCTGTGCACGTTTATTATGCTGACATTGGAGAAACGGCCTTTGATCCTCAACTTGCACATTCTGCTATCGATTGGCCACCACCCAATCACGCGCTTCTGTATTTCGCCCATCCATCGTCCACATTGCAAAAATTGGGCGACTATGGTGAGCTGGGCACGTCGTAAGAATGCCGCACGACGACCCAGTGAAAATGGTTCTCGAAAGCGACCCAACCGGAATAAGAAGAGAGGCGTGCAGCGGGCAAGGTGGATCGACCAAGCCTCGTAGTCTGCGGACCCTTCGCAGACTACGAGGCTGGCGAAGTGTGGCCATGGATCAAGTAGAGTGGAGACGCCTGCTTCGGACAGCAGAGGACAACAAGGCCTTAGCCTGATTGGTTGGTTGGTTGTTTAGCTCAGTCGGAAAAGGTGCAGCTACAAAGCAAGACCATGCAGGAGGTGGCTGGGTTCGATTCCTGATCCGGTCTAGGATTTTTTCGGGATGGAACATTTTTCGACTTCCCTAGGCATAGAGTATGGTTGTACTTGCCACACAATTATACCAATGCAAAAATAGTACAGGCATCGAAAGCTTTCAATTAATAACTGTTGAAGTACAGCTAGAACACTACGTTAAGAAGAAGAAGAAGAAGAAAGACTGAACATTCCCTTGAGCTTCGGTAGCTTCCATTGAAGCTCTAGGGACTTATTTCTTGGTAGTTATTGAATATTTATAAATCAATTTTGGAACGTTGCATCCTAGGATCATTGTTGAAAGGTTACATATGAGGAGTTTTCCAAACTTTAGATTTGTGATGTAAACTTGAAGAGTGCTCATCTGGCCCCGTCTACCCCTAATAGTAGTTATGAAAAAAATCGATGGCTGAATTCTGATGAGAATTCCAACAGAATTTAAACAGAATTTTACAGAAATTTTCAACGAAATTTTGAGATACAGGTAAACCTCGATACAACGGAACTGTCACTTTTGACTTCCATCGCCGATTTCTCGCAAACGATCATTCAAACAAGTAAAGTAATATCACCATCGGACAGGACAGATGACATAATCCACCATTTATTGGTGGTATTAATTTGTATGATTCAATTGTTATTAGGGAGATTTTGACAATGGCAGTCAAAAGTGACAGTTACGTTATATCGAGGCTTTAAACTGCCCATAATTACAAGTCCGTCCCATCTGTAAAAATCTGGAAATGAGAAAACGGCGTTTAAAGATTTTACAAGTTTTCTGATTTGACACTTATTTTTGGAGGGATAAATTTAAAAATAAATATACAATGCGATAGAATGCATCTATGTTTACCAAAACATATTGGAAAATTTCGTGAAATTTTTATTTTATGGCCAAAATCTGAGTGGGACTGACTTGCGATTATATTCAACGTCAATGAGAAAAATAACCGCAAGTCAGTCACAATTCCATGACGATGTTGCATTAGTTTAGCACAGTATTGAACAGTAGAAAGATACCATGGTCCCATAGAACGTTTTAGAATGTTTCTGGATTTGTTCCGCTGGTTCCAGAGCAATGGCCGGAACATATTTCGGTGAGTACGGGTGTTGGATTTTTTGGGTTCGGACCTCCTCAAAGAAACGCACTGGATTCCGTTGTGCCGTGATTCTTGAAGCTAGATAATATATTTCATTAATTAGAGAAAGTAAAATAGAATTCATCCCACTTACAATTTGGTCTACCTTATATTGGCACAAATCCAACAAATTCTGCTCTGTATGTGCGCGGTTTAGTGTCGATCTAGTAGTTATTCAAATCAAATTTAATTATAGCTATTCGATAAACAATTTATGAACTTACAATCAGATTACAGCAGTGTAACCTATCCGAAAGTGTACTCAACCTAAGTGAAATCCAAGAAGAGTCAAAGACTCAAGATTATTCTAACCCTAAATTACAAATAAGTTAGGTAAATTAAGCAAATCTTTAACAATTTTAAACTTACGTATACGAATGACCAGATTTATCTAGGTCTAGATTGGTCCCTCCGTGGGTGAAATAATCAGTTCGAAATAAACTTAAAAATCTATACTAGAAGTATAACGAAATAACCACATTTCAATCTTCCTTCTTCGGTATGGCTGGATTGTTCCCTTTTTCCTCTACCTTTTGTTCATATTGCTGTTGCTTGACGTTTATGATCACGCTGACGTTTACTGATCGTGGACACAGGCGGACTCCGATTGGGGGCATCGCAAGAGGCCTTACTTTCAGTGCTGCTAGAATTGGCAACATCCCCCGACTCGTAACGCACTTCCGTTTTCGCTACCAAATCAACGTTACCATCAGATTGCATCTTCAGCACTGCCAGCTTTGAGACTGGACGCCGGAACACTCCACCCGTAGTTTGTACCAACGCTTGGCGTATACGTCCATCGCTTCCTTTTATAACCGATAGGACACGTCCCCTGGTCCATCCGTTGCGCTGGTTCTCGTTTACTATTACCACCAGATCGTTCACCTTTACCGCTTCCGCCTCACTGAACCACTTGGTTCGTTTGGCGATCGATGGAAGGTATTCTATGACCCATCGCCTCCAGAACTGGTCCACGAGTTGTCTAGTCATGGTCCAGTTCGTACGGGTTACCTTCGTAGGTTCATCCAGTGCTCTTGGAGGTTGCAATACACCGTTCGAACTCAGCAAGATGAAGTGGTTCGGTGTTAGTGCTTCCTGGGTGGAGTTCTCCAGCGGGATGAATGTGAGTGGTCTGGAGTTCACAATTGCTTCTGCTTCCGTGACCACGGTTAGCAGCGTTTCATCGTCCGGATTCCTATCACTACATAAAGATCCCATTGCAATCTTGACCGATCTTACAAGACGTTCCCAAGCACCACCAAAATGGGGAGCGGATGGTGGATTGAAAATCCACTTGGTAGCCGAGTTCGTGAACGTCTCTTGTAGTTGTTTCCCTATGGCTTCAATCTCCTCTCGTAGTTCACGGCTGGCTCCCAGAAAGTTGGTTCCATTATCGGAGTGAATTTCGACAGGTGACCCCCGGCGTGCTACGAACCGACGTACGGCCATCTTACATGACTCCGTAGATAACGAGTGGACGACTTCCAGGTGGACTGCTTTCACCGTCATACACGTAAATAAAGCAACCCACCGTTTGACCGAAATAATCCAACCCAACATAGGAGAATGGACGAACTGTGGCCGCAAGCCGAGCAGCTGGTAGAGGAGCCATCCTTGGTGTAGTTGGCGCCGCCTTGGTGATTTTGCACGCTTGACATTCTTTCGCTACTCGACGAACTACTGGACGCAGGCTGGAAACATGAAAACGCTGGCGAACTTCGTTGTGAACGGTCTCCTGGTTGGCGTGTAGATACTTGCGGTGATACCAATCGACAAGCAGCGTGGTCAACCGATGGTTGCGTGGAAGGATAATAGGGAACTTGAAGTCATGCGTGACATAAGGGACCGCTCCGATGCGACTATCAACCCGCATTACGCCCAGATGGTCCAAGAAAGGAGACAGTTTGTAAATCGGGCTTGTTTTCTCGATATGCTTCTTTGGATTCCCCTGTCTCAGCTTCAACACCGCTATTTCGTCCGGATACGATGTCGCCTGTGCTACAATCCAGAAACTGTTCTCCGCTTTCTGTAGTTCTTCCTTCGACAAACAACCGGTGATTGGCAGCTGCTTCTTGGATGTTCGGCGGCAGTTTGATACGAAACGGTGAGCATACGCGATCGCTCTTAGCAAGCGTTCCCATTTGGAGAAGTTTGTCCAGCTGATGACGTCCTCGACGACTCGCTCATGATGTACCAGGCAGGGCCGCAACTCTATGTCGGTCTCAAGTTGTTTCGTAGACATCCTCTTCGGCCATTCTGACTCCGGTAGATACAAGAAATCTGGGCCTTTGAACCAACGGGACTGGACGTCGGTGCTAGGACCTCTTCCCCACTTAGTAGCTTCGTCAGCCACGTTTTGTTGCGTAGGAATCCATCTCCACTCTGCTGCTTCCGTCTTGTCCGGGATCTCTCCCACTCTGAAGGCCACGAATTGTCGGTACCGGTGATGTGGTGACTGGATCCAAGCCAACGTTGCCTCTGAATCTGTCCAGAAGATACGACGTCGGATAGGAAACGTGTGATACTCTCCAACTGCCTTTGCCAACTTTGCTCCCAATAGCGCACCCATAAGCTCCAGACGAGGTACCGATACCGCCTTCAGTGGTGCCACTTTCGCTTTAGCCATCACTAATGTGCAGTACACCTTGTCATGTATGACAGCTCTGAAGAAAGCGGTGGTTGCGTATGCCTCCTCACTCGCATCCGTGAAAACGTGTAGCTCCACCGAACCTACATCATCGGCAGGGAATCCTGGAAAGTAGGCTCTGGGAAGTCGGATTTGGCCTACCCTTTTGAAAAGCGTGATCCACCTACGCCAGCGTGTTTGAATTGTTTCAGTCACCTCTTCGTCCCATTTGGTTTGGCTGCGCCACGTGTCTTGGATAATCATTCATCCCTGGATCGTAACGTGCGACAAAATACCTTGAGAATTAAAAAGACTCATGACACATCGCAATATGTTCCGCTTCGTTGGAGTAATGTTATCAAGCTGCACATCAGTGGCGAAAGCAAGAAGATCCTGTTCAGGTAACCAAAGAAGGCCAAGAATTCGCTCCGCGTGGTTTTCCGTGTCGATGGTTATCGCTTCTGATTGCTGCTGTTTTGGTTCCCCGACCCGTTCCAAAAGTGTAGATGAGTTCGAGTGCCAATTCCGAATCTCGAATCCACCACGGGCGTGCACCTCCTTCACCTCAAGTGCAACCTTGATCACTTCCTCTTCCGTGTCGAAGCTATCTAAATAGTCGTCCACGTAGTGCTTCTTCAAGATTGCTTTCACTGCCTGGGGATAATCTAATTCGTGCTCTTTCGCGTTCAGGTTCTTGATAAACTGTGCTTGACACGGAGAGCACGTTGCACCAAAACTTCCGACGTCCATCACGAACGTCTTAACAGGCTGAGTCGGATCCTTGCGGAAGAGGAATCTCTGACTGTGTACATCTTGTGGCCGAATCTTGAACTGATGAAACATTTGCCTTAAATCTCCGTTAACTGCCACCGGGCGTTTCCGGAATCCACAGAGCACCGCCGGTAGGGGAACCAACATGTCTTCTCCTTTGAGTAGCATGGCATTTAATGATACACCTCCTACCTTGGCCGCAGCATCCCAAACAAGCCTGATTTTACCCGGCTTCTTAGGATTTCTCACTGCACCCAGTGGAAGGTACCAAACCTTGTCAGGATCGGCCGACTTAATTTCCTCCGGTGTTAGCTCGTGAATGTAACCTCTTTCAAAATACTCTTCGATCTGTCGATGTACACTATCTCTTAGTACAGAATCCGTACTCATTCTTCGTTCGAAGCATTCCAAGCGGCGCATGGCCATCGGGAAACTGTTAGGAAATTCCACCCGGTCGTGTCGCCACAGAAGTCCTATCTGGAACCCCTTCGAAGTTCGTTGTGTGGTTTCCTCCAGTATACGACGGGCGCGTTTGTCCTCCTCTGATTCTGGGCCGTTGTCTGCCGAAACTCCAACGCTTTTATCGACCGTGAAGTGTCGTTCCACGAGTTCATGTAGCTCTCGGTCAGTTGTCTTCTCTCGGCACTCGCAGAGGTGCAAGGTGAAATTCGCTGTCTTCTTTTGGTCCGCTGCATAACCGTAAATTGACCAGCCCAGTCGCGTCTTAGTGGCCAGAGGATCGCCTAGTTGACCCTCCCGCAGCTTCAGCGTCGCAATCAGGCTAGCGTTGTTCGAGCCGATCAATATGCCGGGTGAAACTGCATCGTAGCTGTTGATAGGTAATCCTCGAAGGTGTGTGTACTGCCGCGCCAAATCGGCATACCTCAGCGTCTGATTCGGAAGATTCAGACTTGCGACCGTTCTCGTATCGTTTAAGGAAAACTGTTCGTTTTTACCAGAACCAGAAACCGCTAGACAAACACGCTGAGAATTCGGTTCCTGCCTACTTACATTGCTGGTCCAGGTTAGACACAGAGGAAGTGGTTTTCCATCATCAATCCCCAACCGCTCTACGATGGACTGCTCGACCAATGTCATCGACGATCCGTCGTCAAGGAATGCAAATGTGTCTACCGATTTCCCATTCCAGGAAAGTTGCACTGGCAGGATTCGAAACAACGTCGACTTCTCGGTAGTATGGTGTGCATTCACCCCTTCTCCAGTTCCTTTGTTGTGATTCGTTGGTTTCTGCTCGTCTTCAGCCAGGGTTTGCTGTTTCTGTAATTCTGAGTGAAGCAGTTGATGATGTCGCAGTTGACAACCTTCGAGTCCGCAGCGAGCTTGAACTTTGCACGGGCGCCGTCCATGTTTCCCAAGACACGTTCGACAGAGGTGGTGATCCTGGACAATCTTCCAACGGCTCTCAGGATTCCACTTCTTGAAGGCACCACAGTCTTTGACCTTGTGGTCTTCATCAGACCAGAGCTTTTCATAAACGTACCACATGGGAATTCAAAAATAAGACCAATAAGAGTCATGATGAGTGACCAGCACCATGTTGGCCAAACCCGGACATGTTCCGGGTATCCCCGGGGAAGTGGTATGCATGAATACATGAGAAACTGCCAAACTGAGTATCGTAAGAATTATATTGGCCACATCCGGACATGTTCCAGATACCCTAGGGGAAGTGGACAAAATCTGTCTCGAGACAAATCTCATGATGCGATGTGTTGTCTAAAATTTCTAAAATATGTTTTTCTATTGGGACTGACTTGCGGTTACTTTTAGCTGTGGGACAATTTTACTTGGTATTGTCTTTCATTTTTCTTGAACAAACCACCTTTTATCAATAGCACGTCTCAAAAATCATAGAACGATAAACTGAATAATGATGCTAATATAAAATTGATAAAAATGCAGATGGGACTGACTTGCGATTACCGGCAGTTTACCTGTAATTCAAAAAAAAATCCAAGGAAATTCTATCAACATTTCTAATTGAATTCTGACAAAATCATCATAGGTATCCAAACAAGAACTCAAAATGAAGTCTGATAAGAACTCAAAGATTCCTTAATCTGAGGATGATTTCAAAGGAATTCTAAGGAGTATTCTAATGCTGACAAAAGGCAATCACGAGAATGATTCCAAGGGAATTCTAAGGAGAATGTGGTTTTGACATGTTCTCAAATGCTCATCTAGTACAATTATTTGTGTGATTAATAAAATGTGTTGAACAGTAATACATCATTCATAATTATTGTTAGGAAAAGATCACTGAGCAAAATTAAACTGTGCAATAATAAGCAATTCGGTTTGTGGCTTGTTATCACCGGTCTCATTCAATTGATAATGAGCTGAAGTTCCCAGATATCAAGAGAAGCTTAGCTTTAAAAAATGTATACACTAGAAAGAATCAACATACGAAATTCCCAAAATTAAGAATTTCAAATGAAACGAACATATAGCGATCATCACCTTCATTATGATCTGACCCATTGAACGCCACCGAACGATTAGAATGCACTTTTCCCAGACAATGTTTACGCATAAAACGCTCGTCGGTTGAATAACAATGCGCAAAAAAAAATGTGAAAACAACGATTGGCTTTCTTCTAGCGCACGTACACATACCAGCCTCCTCTCCGTCGGGCAATCAAACTTCACCATTCTACGTTCCTGATAAGACCGATGCCCTCTCGGACAAGATAATAGAAGTACACCTAACCGTAATCTTTCTGTCCTTCAGCGAGACCAAATTATACTTACACCGCTCTGTGGCTGAACGACATCGGAGTGATGCCCGGTGGAGCTCCCAGCACCTTCTGCGATCCCGTGTAGATGGCATCGATTTCCCATCGGTCCATGAACACCGGAGCACCGCCCAGCGATGCAACCGTGTCCACAATCAGCAAACAGTTGTGCTGATGGCACAGGGCCCCCACGCCTTCCAACCCCTGCAGCACCCCGGTCGAGGACTCCCCCTGGGTCAAGAACAGGACGGATGGCTTGTGCAGCTGCAGACCATCACGAATCTCGTCCAGACTGAGCGATTTGCCAGCTTTCGATTTCACGACCCGTACGTCGGCTCCGTAGCGAGAGGCCATATCAGCCGCCCGGTCACCCCAGTGACCGGTATGACCGATCAGTATCACATCACCGTCCTCGAGCAGGTTGCACAGCGTAGCTTCCATTCCCCCGTGACCGGAGGCACTGAGGCAGAATGTAGCGATGTTGTTCGTTTGGAACAAGTACCGAACACCTTCCTTGATGTCGTCCATGATTTTAAGCGTCTCAGGGTGCAGGTGACCGAGAATGGGGCTTGCCATGGCATCCAGAACACGCTGAGGGGCGTTCGATGGCCCGGGTCCCATCAGCAGTTTGTTTGGCACAACAAGTGGCTCCCGGAGCACCGCCGGCGGTGTAACTTTGTATTCCATATTGTTCGATTTTGTTTTTCCCGTTTCACTTTCTTTCCACTCTATCGGTTGAATTTACTGAGGGAATTCACTTTTACACGTCACACTAAATTGCTTGTTCGAGACGGAATGAGCGGATGGGCGAGTAACGGACCGGTTTTTATGCTCTCTGTGTATACTATCTAGTGCGTGTTTCGTCATCCGCGTGGCGGGCAGTGCTGCCGGTGTTGGTAGGAGAGGCTCGAATGTTATTGGAAAATTACAACTGAGCTTCAATTAAATGTTTTTATACCTGGAACTGGTAGGTGAAAATGCTCTACCTATGTAATATTAATTAACGAGATGCACCGCAGCATTTTTTTTTTTGGGAAAAAAATTTAGTGTGAGAAAAAGAGATAGCAATGAATTAAGTTCTACGGCAGTAAAACAAAATGTTAAAACTTTGAAGGTAATAAGGTGATTGTTAAAATCCCATTAATGCGTTTTCATAACACAATGATTTCCCGATTTTGTCAGCCCCATAATAGGCTTTATTCTTAGTGTTAGTATCCAACTTCTTTATTATCTTCAGAACTACTATCAGGGTGGCGAACCGGGAAAAACCCGGGAATTTGACGGGAGAGTCGGGAAAACAGCTCAACATAATCCACCAAAAATTAAAACTTGAATAACAGCTTGAGCTTTATCAAGCAAACAAATGTTTCTTCAGCTCAAAATGGTTCATTCGGCTCTTAATTAAACCTTTGAAATTACTTGACCTTTCGCAAAAATCTCCTCAGAAATCCTTGGAATTCTGTCCTGAATTTTCGTGAAACTTTCTTAAGAATTTAATTTCAATTCTTCAGCATTTTTCTTTATTTACCTCAGAACACGATTCCTTCGGAATTTTTCTCGGATCTTGCGTAATGTTCTCCTGTGAATCTTTCTCTGTATTCCTTTGAAATTATTATTAGGAAACCCTTTAAATTTTTATTTATACATATTTCTTTTTAAATCCTCCTTTACATTTACCTGTAATTTTCTTCAGAATCACCGAGGAATTATCCTTAAAGTTCTCCCCACAACTGCCTTGTAATTTTTCTAAAATATCGTCTGGACTTAATGCTACAATTAATTTAGGATTCTAGTTAGAGCTCCGTTGAATTTTTCTTTGAGTTCTTCTCTGAATTTTGAATTTTCCCAGGACCACACAATTTCCCAGGGACTGTATTTTTTTTCAAATCTGGAATCTTGAAAAACTTATGTCATTTGACCAAGGGGTATTCATCTCTGCACACCTTAATCCGTTCCGAGTGATTGAGCTGTGCCAAAAGCCGTGCCGAACGTGGTTTCAATCAAAGTGTGCCTAAATATCAATATGTCAATGTGTCATGAGTTTGGAAACCCCAAGAGTTATGACTTTTTTTATTGTGTTTGCATTCTCAATTTATCAGATGGATCAAGGCAAGCATTTGGCTTTCCTTCATTCTCATAAGTGCGTTTGCGGATCGGGAGGAGGAAGAGGAAGTGGAAGCCATCAAACCTGTACGGTGTTCATCCCGTTCACCAGATTTCGCCTCGATGTCCCTGCTGCTGATTCTTTGCAGATGTACCGAAACGAAGGCGTAACCCGATCGATGATGGATGAAATTGCCACCTGCTCCCTGTCAAATTATTCCCGACTAAAGTAACTCAGAATTTGAACGGGCGAGAATTCAATCCCACCCTACACCGAAAATAGTTTTCATGTAGCTTCCATTGGAAACGCAAATGATTTTCATCCATAAACAAAATTAATGGAATTCATCTGAATTTCACATAACATTAAAGCGATCACGTTAATTTTATATGATTTTTCAGATGAATTTCATCGGCTTCATAATATTTCTGTGATTTAGTGGTGGGATTGGTAGCTATATGATCACATGAAAGCTATGTGAAATTCACATGGTTTTCATCCATTAGATATGTGATTAATTTTTTGAGTGTAGGAGCAACACTCTCGGGCCAGTTTTTAATAAAGCCTCAAATCAAATTTTCAGTAATGAGCAAGGCCTTACAGTTGACCGACCGGTAGACCACCCATCGTTCTGGGGTCCCTTGATACGAGCTAGTTCTACAGAAGGATGATGACAGAGATGCATCAGCAAAATTACCGGATCTGGTGAAGGGATATGCTCGTGGAATAGAATGTAATTGCATTTTTAACTGCAATGATCCTATACTATTGCACTAAGGTAATCGTACTACCATCCAGGTCTGATGGAGTATGTGTGGTTAATACCTATTGACTTCCCCCAGCAGTACTGGGACTTCATTCAAAATTATATGGACATCCTAATAAAGTCCTGTGGATATCCCATCGTAGCCAATATCAATTGAGACCAATGACTGCGAACGTGTATAAACTGACGTTCATTGTCTCCAGGTTAGTTTTTGGTTTTCATGATCACGGGATCCAACTAGTTTGCACCATAGGTTGCTTTTGACCAACCGTCGGTCGCTGGAGGTAACCAGTTTCAGCCGTCTTGGCTGCCGTATCGACAAGATCCTCTCGACCCGCCATGGTGTGGATGAACTAGGTTGAAGTCAATCCCGAATAGGAGATGTTCTGGATGAAATCACGAGCCACTGGGATTTTAGCTGTGAATCGGATAAGACGGACTGAGTTTTGCTAGATTTAAAGAGATTCACGGTTCAGAGAATACGCACAGATTTTTTCGGAGCGATCTTCGAAACCGGTTTATCGTTCTTATATTCTTGATTGAATCGTTGTTTTATATATGACAACCCCAAATACCCCTTGCATTTGACTCAAAAAAAATATTTTTTTCAATGTTAAATGTTGTTGCCAAAACGTTAATAAATTGTTTTGCCAACATCGGAAGTTACCAACACCGGAGGTAGCTTAAAACGGGTGCTGCTAAAAACGGGAAGGCACTGTATTTATTTTAATGTAGCAAACAAACCGTGGGGCCTCCCTTAGCTCAGTCGGTAAAGACGCAGCTACAAAGCAAGACCATGCTGGAGGTGGCTGGGTTCGATTCCCGGTCCAGTCTAGGAATTTTTCGGGTTGGAAAATTTCTCGACTTCCCTGGGCATAGAAGTATGATTGGACTTGCTTGCCACACAATATACAAATTCATGCATTGGGGTATTGGCATCGAAAGCTCTCAATTAATAACTGTGGAAGTGCATCTAGAACACTAAGTTGAGAGCACGCAATAAGCTAGAAATGCGAAGAAGAAGAAGAAGAAGAAGAAGAAACAAACCGTGAGATGATTTAGACCGAACCGAGGGGGGCGACTCTATCTAAGATGCAGGAAATTTTTTGCTTTGCTGTTGTGAGATGCACTCACGCTTAATAGATAGAAACACGATTGATTATGATTTTGAAGATTTCCTGCAAAAAGGTGGAGAGCGATGCAAGTAGATGGGTTTAGATGCAAGAGATGAAAAAAGATTTTTCGTAGATTGATTCGCTAGTGTGAGATTTTTCAATCATTTAAAATCGAGATTTGGATGTGTCGCACCCCTCGTCTAAAATTGAGATTTAGATGTGTCGCACCCCTCGGACCGAACGAAAAAGAGGTTGAATATTCTTTTATAGTTTAATGTTTGATAGTTAATTATATTTTTCGCATTTTCACGTAGAACTACGTTTTTCTGGATTATACTGGGGTGCAAATCAAAAAAATGTGTATCGAAATAGTGTTAGCTTTTGAACGCTTGTAACATTGTCATTTATAGATGAAATTAAAATCCAAATACGCCAATCGATAGGAAATAACTCTACGCATCTACTAAAATAAATTCTTTTACAATTTTCCTTAAAAAAACTTTTTAAAAATGTACAAATTATAGTTTTTTTACAGTTTTTTTTTTTTATGAAATAAACGTTTTGCCCCAAACCCAGTCGTCATAATCGAGTACCATTTGGTTGCACATCGTTCTGCCTGAACCTGAAAAGTTATAAAACAGCGCTGCTGTCATGCCTCTCCTCATCAATGCCTTCGGCTTGGCTACTTCCCCTCGTGCTAGAAGTCAGCTAAAGTCATCCCCACTCGGAAGCCTGGGAAAGATCCGTCCTCTCCTTCAAACTACCGACCCATCAGCCTTCTCCCGGGGTTATCAATGCTGTTCGAAAGGGCAGTCTGCCACCGGTTCCTGACATCTGCCGATGAAAACAACTTGTTGCTCGAGGAACAGTATGACTTCCGTAAAGGTCGCTCGACAGCTGACTCGAATGACAAACATTCTTAGACGGAACAAGTTTGTATCTAAAATATCTGCCTTGATGTTGTTGGACGTTGAAAAAGCGGTCGATAATGTCTAGCACGATGACCTGGTTTACAAATTGCAGCGATACGTGTGAAGATCATAAAAAAAAACTATCTCTCGGACAGGACATTCCAAGTCTCTCTGAATGGCATCACATCGGAAACATCCTTGGACCTAACTTGTTCAACCTGTTCACCACCAGAAAGGGATCGTTGTCCCTGTTCGCAGATGACACATCCATCATCTATAAGGGTAGAGTCATCGGAGCTCTGACCGCCAAAGTTCAGAGAGGACTGGACCCGTACAGAAGGCCGAAACACAAACGGCTGAAAATATTCTAAGGTACCACAAAAGGCCAAAAACCAAAAAGGCGGAAAACCAGAAAGGCCGAAAACCAAAAAGGCCGAAAATTTATCAAAAACCGAATTTGTTGAAAACCGCATCCAAACAATCTGTTAGCCTTCTTCTCGCAGAACTGACTCGGCTCGTTAAATGGTCTGCATTCACAAAAAATGAAGCCAAGATGAAATTAGATATAGAGGTGTTCTTACTTGCTGACTTTTGCGAAAAACTAGTAAGTGTTAAGTAGAGAGGAGCGGACTAGCTGGTTTTGAGCCAAACGAACTGTCAAAGCTAGAGCCAATCGAGCACCTCCTATCTTGATTGCATAGGTTGCCAAAGCAGTTTGTGTTAAATCCGCTCCTCTTTTATGCTAGACCCTCTCTAGTGGTAAGTTGCGGGTAAGAGAAGGGTAAGGAAATGAGAGATGTGATAGAAGTGAACAGTTTATTTACGCATAGGTACACAACATTCTGATT